AGCAGCAGCAGCAGCAGCAGCAACAACAACAACAGCAGCAGTAGTAATAGCAGTAAGTAGCAGCAGTAGTGATGTAGCGGTTCGGCGTTTCGCTGTCGCATGCAGAGGTATGAGTTTGATGAGTTTGATTCCGAATGGGGTGGGTGTGGTGTGCTTGTGGCGAATTTTATCGAGTATCTCGGTCTTTCTGCTAGGATGATGTATCCCTCCCTCTCAGTCCGGATTGACCCAGACATGCAGGTTTGAAAGCCCGTCTCTAAATTCTAAATTTTGTCGATGGGGGCATAAAACACCTGCATTCAGTTGGCCTTCCACAAGCTTGTCAAGTAAACAGGACAACCATCAGCACAATTATTGACAGGCTCCTGGGCACCATGAAGGCACACTTGCTTGAACTAATTCCGACTGCACCTAGGATCTGCATCATGTATCAACATGGCGTATGCAAATCCACACGTACAATCATGAATAAGGCATAAACCTGTTGATGAAACTAACCCATGAATGATTTTGCCAAGGGACAAGAGCTATGCATGTCGTCCTAGGCCGACGTGGAACACACTTGTCAATGACATTCGCTTTGAGTTATGTTGATGGTGGCCTCATGATTCATGAACTCTGAAGGAGGAATGACAGTTGACCTGCGGTGGATGCAATTTTCGTCATAGTTACTGCACCTGATCATAGGCAAGCAGCCAACCTGCAATTGTCTTCAAAATTGTGGTCTCCGTTTTTTTCCTCCTTTCTCCCCATTTCTCAATTTCTGCTCAAATGCAATTGGTATAAAGAGGGCACAGACAAAGAAAACACGGGGCAAAGTTTGCGACCTGCTCTTGAGTAAGCACTACGAAGAAATGATGACAACCCTAACCTAAATTGCGGAACAAGGAGTCGATGTTGCTACTGCTGCAAAGATGCAAGCTGTTTTAGGGGTGTGCAGAAGTATCCGATTTTGCCTGCCTGCTTTGGGAACCAAGACGAGTTCATGTTATTTCAAGTTTTCCTATATTTCATGTACTTGGGTGAGGTGAGGTGTTTCTTTGGTTTGGTTATTTGTAGTGCAGAAAAGCAATAAGTAGACTTTGGTTATAGTCTGGACAACACCAAAAAGGACAACTTTTCGACCTCATTACACCAAATCTGAAAGATGAATCTCTCTGATTTTTTTGTATGCTCCTATGAATTCTAAAAGACCTAAAAAATCTCAAGTTTTGTGCATGTGTGACAAAAATAATGAGGTGCTGTCTGTATAATCATTAATAAATAATTTTTTATTAAACTCAACACTATGGGTGGTTGGTGGGTGCTCTGGTGTGGTTTGCTTCTTCTTTCCTATCAAACATCTATCATTCTTATCTCCCCTTCTTCTTTTTAATGTTTGCTACTCTCTTGTAACACCTCTAATCTTCTGGCGCTCTTATGACCTTATGCAGTTGCGAGCGCCGTAAAAACCTCTACTAAAACTAAAAATCTCAACACCACGCACTTTTTATAGCAAGCACGGCACTATGCTAAAACCATAACAATAAAGGGTGTCGTTGCAGGAGTTAAGCCTGAAATTACAGAGGGGGGGGGGGGGTACAGTTTGGTCAAACCCAAAATCGTGAGTCCACAGAGTGCTATATTTGAAGCGCTTATGGGCCTGTCACTGCCCCCCCCCCCCTTTTCCCTTTTACACATACATGCTTTGTCCTTTCTTCGGAATTTGTTATCAATTAAAAGAGGTAGCCACGATCAGCTTTTTTGTTGAAATAGTTCAGTAGTTTTAAGGCTACGATTTTTTCTTTAAAAACTGAGTAATCTAACATGGTGATTAATGAAAATGTGACAGCAAATTGAAACGAATGCGATCTCAATGACAGAAGATATGAAAGAAATTGTACAATGGGTCAATCAAAATAAACCCACTGTCACCCACTAACCTCTGGACTGAAAATAACTCAGTCTTGCGACACATGCAGTCAGTTAAACAAAAAATGATTTTAAAAAACAAACAAAAAACTAACACTGAACTACAGTTCCTGTTCTAATTGAAAATCCCGGCGCAGACTGTAATTAAATACTAATGATTATACGGAAAACTCCTCTTTATATTTGTCGTATATGCACCAAAATCGAGATATTTTAGGGGGTTTTTTGGAATTCGCAGGCACATGCAAAAAATCAGGACAATTCGCCAAATAGTTTCTGTGTAATGAGGTCGACAAGTTGTCCATATTGTGTTGTCCGGACTATAGTAGATATTTTTCCATTGATTCATTCGCTTCAAATCAACTCAAGTCAGTGTCTCTATTGGAGGAGAATGGTGGTGAGGAGGAGGAGGAGGAGGAGGAGGGAGGAGGAGGAGGAGGAGGAGGAGGAGGACGAGGACGAGGAGGACGAGCAGGAGGAGGAGGAGGGGGAGTGGAGACATTGTTGTTTTGAAACCTTTTACAGCCTTGTCACCTTTGCACTTGCAATGCTACATTTTGTTCTTCACACATTCTCTTTTGAAATGACAATTTTCACATTTGAACCCACTACGTGCAAGTTTGCTCTTTCTATATTTGGTCGCTTTAAGCACAAGGGAGCTATCCCGAAAAACGCTGTTTTGAGAAAATCGAAGGTAAAGTTTTTGCCCCTTGTTCAGTTTCTTTAAAAGACAATGAGAGTTTTCTCTATAACCAAACAAATATACACACCAGTGAAACAAAACTTCTCCTATAGGTAGGGCAATGCCCACTTCTGGTGTAGGTCAAGATTTCTGGAATCCCCCGAAATCTTGGATAACCCGCTAGTCCTTATAAGCGCCCTTTTATATTTGAAATTGCATGTCACATTTGGTCTTCCTATGTCCCGTTTCGACTTGCTGTGTTCACATTTGTAAGGGGGAAAACTAAGTCTATCCTGCCCTATATAACAAACCCCAGAAGCCAAATGAATAAATCTCCGAGAGGAAACAGATAAGAAAAATGTCACATGAGACTAGCATGACATAATTTGTAAATACATTTCATCATAGGCTGCACATTTTTCCCCCTGCACTTTTGTAATCTTTATCATCTCTACTGGACAATGATTCCTTCTTGCCATCTTATCAGTTAATCGTGTGTGGCCTTTACACCCAGGCACAATACGTTCACCCAATTTAGCTACAGAGCACTGTCAGTTTGTTCAAAATTGTAGTCCATTTGAAAAGTTTATGACTTCGAACGAAAAAGAAAATGAAGGTACCTGTTGTTTCGTCAAACAAAATACGCTCATTCTAAGAAAAAAAAATTAAAAGTAGTAATAAATATAATCAACTTCTGAGTTGAATATTTTCTGTAACAGGGATGTAATGACAACATATTTGAAACAAACATGTAAAGCAAGGTCTAAAGCAAGCATGAACATTTATTTCATTAAAGAATTCTTTCCGATAAGAGAGCAGTCTTAACAGGAAAGATAATAGATATACGCATGTGGTGTAAAGCACCCCCTGACCGCCGCCTCAGTGAAGATCTGAATTAGTTTGATTAAAGGGGACAACATACATTTTCTATCAATCAGAGGTAATGAAACATAATATTCAAAATGTTGTCAAGTGTAAAATGGTCGTCTTTAAGCCCAAGGGAGCTATCTCAAAAATGCTGTTTTGAGAAAATTGAAGGTACATTTTTTGCCCCTTGTTCAGTTTCTTTAAAAGACAAGAAGAGTTTTCTCTATAACCAAACAAATATACACACCAAAGAAACGGAACTCCTCCTGTGGGTACGGCAAAGCTCACTTTGGTGTAGGTTAAGATTTCGGGAAACCCCCGAAATCTGGGTTAGCCGCCTGTCCTTAAAAGGGACCAAATCAAAGCCGGGTTGTGTTTCATGTATGGTAAGTGAGGCCCTGGTTACCACATAAAGATTGCACGCATAAAGCTCGTGTAGTGGCCCATCTTAGGTCAAGAAATATAATGTCTTGTCAGAAAACTACCCCTCCAGAAAAACGAGCACTTTGGAACCACACGGATCCAGGAGGCACACTTTCAAACCAATAAAAAAAATGAGCGCCATGCTGTACAGATAGGAAGCTCCGTTTCAAGGACAAAAATAGGCACCTCCGGTGAAAAGAGGCGCTCTTCCATAATAAGTTGTCTGGTCAGGTTCGTCAAATAATAATTTTGTAGTAGTTGACTCTGCTATATACACGACACGACATTACGAAAAGTGTGCGATTTCTCGTTAGAGTGCTTGCTATAGGTGCAGTTTTCAGTGAGTAACCGAATAAAAAGTTAAATCAACTGTCGAGGAAGTCATGCTTGTTGAACAAAACGAAAATATAATAAATGCAGGCGCTGTTTGCAACGCCGCGTTCCGAATTGCTCCTGTGCTGTTTGAAACGCCGCTTTCTAATTAGCTCCCATGCTATTTGAAACGCCGCGTTCTAATTAGCTTCCATGTTATTTGAAACGCCGCGTCCTGAATAGCTCAGATGCTATTTGAAACGCCCGTACTAATAGCCATCCTTTCTATAATGATAAAATTGTAGTTCTGCCTGAATTGTGGAAGCTCTCTCAGTATCTTGATAAATTTCCTAGGATTTGACTCCTTTTTGTATGGCGTTGTCTTAATCCGATCAATATTGGGTAGATCTATATCTAGACTAGATCTAGATCTAACAATTGTTTCTGACATTGTTTGCACCTAAGTAGTCTTGTGCCTGGATAACAATAACAAGACGGTGCGTCTCCGTAACCACTCTTTCCTGTCCGCAGTGTCTTCATACAATACCTAGATCTAGAAATATTAGGCCCTATCTCTGCGTGCACTTTATATTTTGCCATCACACATGACGTCGCCTTATCTAGGCTTCGGCGTTTTAATTAGCAGGGGGTAGAGTTTACGTTCTCTAACGTAAGGAGTAGTATGAAAGCTGTCTACGTTTTCTAATGTTCAGTGCTTCCAAGCGTGATATCGAATCCCGGTCTAGGATTTTTTTTCTTCTTCTAATGAAAATTAGACTCACAGACCAAGGAAAGCCACTACTGAACTTTAACCAGGCCAAAATTGGTAAGAGAAAAAGAAAAGGCCTACTTTGTAGGTAAAAGCTCCTCTTGGGGACAAAACCAGAATGTACATGCTTCATCACTAGATCTACAGGGGAGGAAGAAGAAAAAAACAAACACACTTCCAGTAGCTGGATTCGAACCCACGCTCATAAAGTAGTTATTTGACTTTAAACGCAGACGCGCTGTCAATTTCGCCATCAGAACTTCCAACAACAAAAGGTAGATTAAGCTTAATATTTAACTCACGACGTTTTAATTAGCGCTGGGGCTAATCGCAACGCTGCGTTTTATTAAGCACCGGAGCTAATCACAACGCGGCGCTGCAAATAGGCACTTCCTATAAGACATGTATTCAATATGTATCTTGATATGTATCGCAAACCCTTTGTTGTATCTT